CGAACGAACAACGAAAACAAACGAACAAACGAACAAACGAACAAACGAACAAACGAACAAACGAACAAACGAACAAAACGAACAAACGAACAAACGAACAAACGAACAAACGAACAAACGAACAAACGAACAAACGAACAAACGAACAAACGAACAAACGAACAAACGAACAAACAAACAAACGAACAAACGAACAAACGAACAAACGAACAAACGAACAAACGAACAAACGAACAAACGAACAAACGAACAAACGAACAAACGAACAAAACGAACAAACGAACAAACGAACAAACGAACAAACGAACAAACGAACAAACGAACAAACGAACAAACGAACAAACGAACAAACGAACAAACGAACAAACGAACAAACGAACAAACGAACAAACGAACAAACGAACAAACGAACAAACGAACAAACGAACAAACGAACAAACGAACAAACGAACAAACGAACAAACGAACAAACGAACAAACGAACAAACGAACAAACGAACAAACGAACAAACGAACAAACGAACAAACGAACAAACGAACAAACGAACAAAACGAACAAACGAACAAACGAACAAACGAACAAACGAACAAACGAACAAACGAACAAACGAACAAACGAACAAACGAACAAACGAACAAACGAACAAACGAACAAACGAACAAAACGAACAAACGAACAAACGAACAAACGAACAAACGAACAAACGAACAAACGAACAAACGAACAAACGAACAAACGAACAAACGAACAAACGAACAAACGAACAAACGAACAAACGAACAAACGAACAAACGAACAAACGAACAAACGAACAAACGAACAAACGAACAAACGAACAAACGAACAAACGAACAAACGAACAAACGAACAAACGAACAAACGAACAAACGAACAAACGAACAAACGAACAAACGAACAAACGAACAAACGAACAAAACGAACAAACGAACAAACGAACAAACGAACAAACGAACAAACGAACAAACGAACAAACGAACAAAACGAACAAACGAACAAACGAACAAACGAAACAAAACGAACAAACGAAACAAACGAACAAACGAACAAAACGAACAAACGAACAAACGAACAAACGAACAAACGAACAAACGAACAAACGAACAAACGAACAAACGAACAAACGAACAAACGAACAAACGAACAAACGAACAAACGAACAAACGAACAAACGAACGAACGAACAAACGAAACAAACGAACAAACGAACAAACGAAACAAAAACGAACAAAACGAAACAAACGAACAAACGAACAAACGAACAAACGAACAAAACGAACAAACGAACAAACGAACAAACGAACAAAACGAACAAACGAACAAACGAACAAACGAACAAACGAACAAAAACGAACAAACGAACAAAACGAACAAACGAACAAACGAACAAACGAACAAACGAAACAAAACGAAACAAACGAACAAACGAACAAACGAACAAACGAACAAACGAACAAACGAAACAAACGAACAAACGAAACAAACGAACAAACGAACAAACGAACAAAACGAACAAACGAACAAACGAACAAACGAACAAACGAACGAACGAACAAACGAACAAACGAACAAACGAACAAACGAAACAAACGAACAAACGAACAAACGAACAAACGAACAAACGAACAAACGAACAAACGAACAAACGAACAAACGAACAAACGAACAAACGAAACAAACGAACAAACGAACAAACGAACAAAACGAACAAAACGAACAAACGAACAAACGAACAAACGAACAAACGAACAAACGAACAAACGAACAAACGAACAAACGAACAAAACGAACAAACGAACAAACGAACAAACGAACAAACGAACAAACGAACAAACGAACAAAACGAACAAACGAACAAACGAACAAACGAACAAAACGAACAAACGAACAAACGAACAAACGAACAAACGAACAAACGAAACAAACGAACAAACGAACAAAACGAAACAAACGAACAAACGAACAAAACGAACAAACGAACAAACGAACAAAACGAACAAACGAACAAACGAACAAACGAACAAACGAACAAACGACCAAACGAACAAACGAACAAACGAACAAACGAACAAACGAACAAACGAACAAACGAACAAACGAACAAACGAAACAAACGAACAAACGAACAAACGAACAAACGAACAAACGAACAAACGAACAAACGAACAAACGAACAAAACGAACAAACGAACAAACGAACAAACGAACAAACGAACAAACGAACAAACGAACAAACGAACAAACGAACAAACGAACAAACGAACAAAACGAACAAAACGAACAAACGAACAAACGAACAAAACGAACAAACGAACAAACGAACAAACGAACAAAACGAACAAACGAACAAACGAACAAAACGAACAAACGAACAAACGAACAAACGAACAAACGAACAAACGAACAAACGAACAAACGAACAAACGAACAAACGAACAAACGAACAAACGAACAAACGAACAAACGAAACAAACGAACAAACGAACAAAACGAACAAACGAACAAACGAACAAACGAACAAACGAACAAACGAACAAACGAACAAACGAACAAAACGAACAACGAAAAACGAACAACGAACAAACGAACAAACGAACAAAGAACAAACGAACAAACGAACAAACGAACAAACGAACAAACGAACAAACGAACAAACGAACAAACGAACAAACGAACAAACGAACAAACGAACAAACGAACAAACGAACAAACGAACAAACGAACAAAACGAACAAACGAACAAACGAACAAACGAACAAACGAACAAACGAACAAACGAACAAACGAACAAACGAACAAACGAACAAACGAACAAACGAACAAACGAACAAACGAACAAACGAACAAACGAACAAACGAACAAACGAACAAACGAACAAACGAACAAACGAACAAACGAACAAACGAACAAACGAACAAACGAACAAACGAACAAACGAACAAACGAACAAACGAACAAACGAACAAACGAACAAACGAACAAACGAACAAACGAACAAACGAACAAACGAACAAACGAACAAACGAACAAACGAACAAACGAACAAACGAACAAACGAACAAACGAACAAACGAACAAACGAACAAACGAACAAACGAACAAACGAACAACGAACAAACGAACAAACGAACAAACGAACAAACGAACAAACAAACGAACAAACGAACAAACGAACAAACGAACAAACGAACAAACGAACAAACGAACAAACGAACAAACGAACAAACGAACAAACGAACAAACGAACAAACGAACAAACGAACAAACGAACAAACGAACAAACGAACAAACGAACAAACGAACAAACGAACAAACGAACAAACGAACAAACGAACAAACGAACAAACGAACAAACGAACAAACGAACAAACGAACAAACGAACAAACGAACAAACGAACAAACGAACAAACGAACAAACGAACAAACGAACAAACGAACAAACGAACAAACGAACAAACGAACAAACGAACAAACGAACAAACGAACAAACGAACAAACGAACAAACGAACAAACGAACAAACGAACAAACGAACAAACGAACAAACGAACAAACGAACAAACGAACAAACGAACAAACGAACAAACGAACAAACGAACAAACGAACAAACGAACAAACGAACAAACGAACAAACGAACAAACGAACAAACGAACAAACGAACAAACGAACAAACGAACAAACGAACAAACGAACAAACGAACAAACGAACAAACGAACAAACGAACAAACGAACAAACGAACAAACGAACAAACGAACAAACGAACAAACGAACAAACGAACAAACGAACAAACGAACAAACGAACAAACGAACAAAACGAACAAACGAACAAACGAACAAACGAACAAACGAACAAACGAACAAACGAACAAACGAACAAACGAACAAACGAACAAACGAACAAACGAACAAACGAACAAACGAACAAACGAACAAACGAACAAACGAACAAACGAACAAACGAACAAACGAACAAACGAACAAACGAACAAACGAACAAACGAACAAACGAACAAACGAACAAACGAACAAACGAACAAACGAACAAACGAACAAACGAACAAACGAACAAACGAACAAACGAACAAACGAACAAACGAACAAACGAACAAACGAACAAACGAACAAACGAACGAACAAACGAACAAACGAACAAACGAACAAACGAACAAACGAACAAACGAACAAACGAACAAACGAACAAACGAACAAACGAACAAACGAACAAACGAACAAACGAACAAACGAACAAACGAACAAACGAACAAACGAACAAACGAACAAACGAACAAACGAACAAACGAACAAACGAACAAACGAACAAACGAACGAACGAACGAACGAACGAACAAACGAACGAACGAACAAACGAATGAACAAACGAACAAACGAACAAACAAATACACGCACGCGTGCCCGCAATTATAAGCAGCTTACCGTGTTAAAGACATCTAATCCAAATATTTCTTTCCTAGAGCATGGTAAACTATTATCATTTATTTTATTAATTTTTTCATCAGGGTATGGTTGTGGGTTTAGACCAGAATAAACTGTTTCCAGATTAAAAAGGCTTTTTTGAATTTCGTAGTTTATTATTAGGGAATTATTATTTTGCATCTAAAAATAACAAAATAAATCTTTATTTTTCCACCAACTTTAGTGAATAAAAAATATTGACTAACTATGGAAAATGCTTTTTATTAAAATTATTTAAATATTTTGCCTAACTAAACTTAGCAATTTTTATTTTATTTAGACCCATAACAATAAAAGTACCTGTGACCACTTCCATAAATAGCAAGCAGCATACTACCTACAGCTAAGTAAGTTAAATTTTACGTACTGTAAAGTAGATACGATGTATCATTTTACCATTAATAAGAAAAACCTGGATTACGACTGAAGTTGTCTATAGGCAGTTTCTTTTATCACAACGGGCTGCAAAGATTTATTTAGCACGAACATTGTGTTACTATTATCACTTGAAGTCATGTTTGGCCCTCGAGGAATGGTAGCAGAAACATCCAAATTGTCAACATTCTCTTCGATAGGAATTTTACAGGAATGGACAAGTAATAAATTTCGAGAAATAAAGTTTCTACCGCACTTCTCACAAATCATGTCTAATTACAAATAATTTTAAGCAAATACAGTTAAATAATAAGACAATTATTTCTTTTAGAATGTTTGTTTTTAAAAATCTAGCCAAAATAAACGTTTCTATCCTTACATTCGGCCTGCCGCGCCGCATACGAGCACATGGCAACAACTGAGAATGTTTGGTAGGCAAAAGCAAATAAATTAACGTATCTCGTTGGAATCCATTGATTGGACCATGCAAGATGGCAGAACCCAACATGATTACATATATGCAATTGCCATCTTTGAAGTTACTTCAGCATACGATTCATGAAAGGGAGTAAAAACATATATGTCTGTATATTTAGTTTTGCCATCTTTTAAATAATCGCATATTAGATAAATATTTGATGCTATTTTACAATATTGTAATGAAGTCAATTTTTCTCAATCAATTTATTTTCATTTTTCATTAATAATAAATATTAATCGCGGTTGAACTGCTAATTTTCAGATGCGCGAACGCCACTCGAAATGTCGATGCGCGATAGCTTTAAACGTAAGTGAAATTTTCGATTGGGAGAGGGACATTTGTTTGAACGATAGCGGAGATGCTATTAAAATTATTAGTTCGATATAAATTTTGATTGCCAGCAGTTTAGTCCGATAAGCCGCAGTAGAAATCTAAACACCGCCGATATTTTTTTTCCGTTTTCAATATTTACGAATCCGTCAGGTAAAAAAACCTGTTCCGCTTTTTACATTTGCAATTAAAACGGTATTTCATTTTAAATAGCGAATTAGTTTGTAGGAATAGGAATATTTTTAATAGACACTGTTTAGTTAAAAGAATTAATTTGATTTAAATAATAAATAATAGGATTTGTTTCTTGGCAAATAAAACCGCGTCTTTATTTTTATTTTATAGATAGGGTTTAGTTAAAAGAATTAATTTGATTTAAATAATAAATAATAGGATTTGTTTCTTGACAAATAATACCGCGTCTTTATTTTTATTTTATAAATAGGGTTTAGTTAAAAGAATTAATTTGATTTAAATAATAGAATTTGTTTCTTAGCAAATGATACCGTTTCTTTTGTTTTTATAAATAGGGTTTAGTTAAAAACATTTGAATTTATTTCTTGACAAATATTCCGTTTCTTTAAAAAGGGATATAATTTGAATTAAATATTAATTGATAGGATTTAATTTTGTAATATTGTAAAACCGAGGATTTTAGACTTTTGATTGTTAGTCGGTTTTAAGAAATTATTCATTTTCTTTTGATAGGTTAAATCTGGATTTAAATTTGACTTTATTCATAAATACTTTTGTTTAGTAGGTACCGCGTTGTAATTAAGTTGTGAATATTTATAAACCGCATATTTGAATAATCTTAAATAGCATCCTCTCCTGGTCTGAACGGGCTCGTGATGACGATCAGTTCACCCTTGGAGTAGGTGCTATCCGCGTTATATTTTTTTTGAGTTAATTTGTACCGCAATTTTTAAATAATTTTAAATAGTATCCTGTCCTGTTTGAACGGGCTCGTGATGACGATCAGTTCACTCTTGGAGTAGGTACTATCCGCGTTAGTAAATTTTCTTCCCTCCGATAATAATTTTCTTTTCTTTTTTTTTTCCGACAATTTAAATAATTTTAAATAGTGTCCTGTCCTTGTCTGAACGGGCTCGTGATGACGATCAGTTCATTTTTGGACTAGGGACTATCCGCGTTAGATTTCTTTTTCCCCTTTGTTCTTCATTTTTTTCGTGCAAACTGCAACTTGCAGAATTTAAAAATAGCTTCATTACCCTGTCTGGAGCGGGCTCGTGATGACGATCAGCTCATTCTGGGATAATAGGCTACCCCGGGTATAAATTTATTTTTATTTTCTTTCCGTGTATTTACTATAAGTAATTATTTCGCGTCCCTGTCTCCTCGCACTCTATTCGTCCGTTTAATTAATTTTTCTTCACCTATAGCAAAATACCTATATTTTGGTTTAATTCCCGATACCGCGGTTAAACAGTTATCTAACGAGTAAATAGCCAAGTTAATATTTTTTTTCTGCGACCGAAACATATATTTTATTTTGATTTATTTTGACGTCTGATTGAGACTAGTCGCGAAGTAATACCGTCTGTTTTGTTCTTTTTTTTAATATATATTCAGGGTTATATTGACTTTCACCACAACTGGGGTGGGCGTTGAAATATTTATTTATTTTTTTTGTTGTAAATAGTTAACTACAATATATGTGTCAATGTTAACCTGCCGTATTACTGGTTAATAATTCCCTAGTTTATTTCCCCCTTACATTTCAGTCAGTGATAAATTTCTGTACGAGTCCAAGCAACGATTAAAGCCCGTTACTTGTGGCCTACTATTACCTGTGTCTAAGTGACCTTTGACCCCTGGAATTTTTCATCTCCATCTGTAGCTACCCGAGTACTTTCGACGCTGTTTCGAAAGTTTGTGGAGTAAACCATTATCAAAAATCTGGCGCTCGAGAACCGCCCGTAACCAGCGTTATTCGTAAGGAACCGTTTTCTCTGTGGCGAGAAAACCCCTTACAATATATTAACATATAGTATATTGCCACCTTCTCAAATAAGATGCACCAATAGACTACAAGCAGGCAATAACCTGTATAAGACATATATGGTTTTGCCAAAGTTAGTTGTCGCTGTTTTCAACATATTCGATCTTGACACGACACTATCAAATAGCACAACACAGAAATAGATTTAGCATATCTTATTTTGCCATCTTATAGATCTCATTACGAGGATTATAAAGGTATAATAATATCAAAATGGCGAAATTGTGACATATATGCTTTTGCCATCTTATCACAGATTTAATTTACGAAGTGCGTATATACCATTTTATATGCCCTTGCCTTATTTATGTTATAGAAACTTATTTTGCAAAGTAAGCGTATGAAATGTGACGTTATATTCTAATATTATAAAAAAACTTATTAATAAAGAATAAAGAACTTCTCTAAATAGTGATAATCAAATCAAACTTTTCTTTAAAATTCTAAAGAGTTTTTTATTAAATATGGAAAATACAAAATATTTAATAAAAATATCAATTATCACTATTTACCTTTCTGATCTACCTGCCATCTAAAATGATCAATCATTAACCAGCGTTGATTCTTTTCATCATTACAAGCCTCCAAACAAAGATCATTATCATCAGTTTTTGTAAGACAGTTCCCTGTGCTAGTATTATTTATTGTCTTTTTCTCGAAATCATAGACCCAGATTTGCCTTGCGCCGATTGTTTGACAAGTTCTTAATTGTATTGGACCAACTGGTGAAGAGGCTTCCAGACAATATCCATTAGATATTATTTTATATCGTTTTGTATAAACAAATATTTGAGTATCGCCTAAGTGTTGACAGTAAGACATACCAAGGTTTTCATATTCCTTTCTTCCCATAGTATCTAAACAAAGCCCAGTTACTACGTTCCGAATTTCTCCCAGATAGTAGTAGTTAAGTGGCATAGTAGATTCTGGATGTACATTTTCTAAGTACCATCTGAAACTTTTACAATTTAATTTTTTTCTTAAATTAATTCTAGAAGACAGATCACCAGCCGGTTCTAGTCTGGCATACGGATTCGTAGCGTAATAAAAATTAGACCAATTTTCCATCCAGACCTAAAAAAAAAACATGAATAAATAATATTAAACAGATGACTAGTAAGACAATAATTTAAGATTTTTTATGTTAATTAAAATTAGTGATTAATAAGATTAATAAAAAGTGGATTTTAAAATAGATCAGAGTAATTAAAGTTCAATATTATTTTAACCTGTTCACGATAAAATGTATAGGATACGAACACCATGTGTGGCCACTTCACCGTTAGTGGCTACCAAGGCCACTAAATTTGACAAGGTCTAAGGTTTTTTCTTACAAATATTGACAAGAAACGAGGTATTTTTATTTAAGCTATAGATAAAATTTAAGTGAAATACTTAAATAAACGAATTTGTTAGGTTGTACGCTTATGATTTTAAAATACTTCTATGTAGTCAAAAATATTTAATTTCTATTGGAATTTTTACTATATTTGGCATTGTGATGGCTAATTTTAGAACACTTATGATTAATTTTTGGCTAGGCCATGGCCACTAATAGAAAACTCATGATCCTATTTTGACCACATGATAAATTGACTGGCGACTAAAAGTTTTAATATTGTTCACATGAGTTTAATGATTCTAAATATGTATGTGTAAAATATGAGAAACAATTTTTACCAGAAATAAATACAGATGAAAAAAATCAAGTAGGTACTAGTTACTGAAAAGTTATGAAAATTATCAGAAATGGTCAGAAAAAAAGGAGAAATCTGTTAAGACAGAATTGATAGTATGGAGAAAATGCAACTTTTAAATAAATGGTATTCTATGTATTTAACGAATAAAAACTGTCACAACAATTTTTTAATTTTAAATTTAGATATATTTGATGATTTTAGATGAAATAACTAAAGTGGGTATAAAAGGGTCTTACAAAGGCCACATTAGGAACTGAGTGGCCATAAATGGAACAAAATTAATATTTATGTATTCGAAGTTTTAAATAATAATAACAAATAAACCCTATTGTTTAAATTTAAAACCACTAAAATACAAGTAAAAAAATAAAAATACTTACTACAGGTTAATTTTCAGACCCTTATGGTAATTTTATTAATTTATGATTTTTTTCAATTCTCAGGATACTTTAGGATGGGCAAACTGTTAGTTAATATTTAGATAATGTTACAGGTAATTAACAAGAAAATATTTTTATCCTTCTCGGTTTGAGATTCCTTTTTCTTCCATTACAGAATGATCTCTGTAATCACTGCACCATAAAGGTATTTCAGAAAGCAGTTTATATTCCGCTTGTGAACAAGTGAGGATATATGTTTAACAATATTATTCCCTAACTAGGTCAAGACGTCGAATATGTAGTGCAAATATTTTTTAATTGCGATTGTTTAAAAAATGTTTAAGAACAAAAATATTTCAATAAAGCTACTGTTTAGGCCAAGCGGTGGGTGATTCCTATTCGCAAAAGGTCGGAAAGAGATGAAATTTGGTGAGATGGTAGACATGGGTCCCCTCATACTACACCTATGTTTGCGACCTCGAGGGGTGGAGGGATGAAAACTCTCAATCGCGACGCTTTTCGGGAAATAGCGCCGTTGTGGTAACTACTATCGAAAAAAAGAAGACGAAGATTGCCACGAAACAATTATGTTATATTTTTAAACTAACAGAATAATGATTTCTGAGTCTGCAGATGCCCGATTCATTTGATTTGGTCATTAGTCGATGTTCGGTCTCAAATCAACACGTTTAAAACTGTGTCCTCATCAAATAGCAATTTTAACTGGGAAACAACCAAAATTCCTTATTGAAATTTATATGTGCGTGCATCTAAAAAAGTATCCTTGCAAGTGGTTCTGCAGAAATATGATATTGAAGTAAATTAACAAGAATAATCTAAGATTTTATAAACTGTAAGTAATAATCTTATTCTTTTACTATTAAGTTATCAGATTCCACAAAAACTCGTTTCTACATTAAATATACGAGGACAGCATAATAATTAGAATGAATACAAGCATTACACAAAGCGCTACAAACCAAGATATTTATGATTTAATTATAAATCTAGATAGTAAACTAGGGAAACAAATTGAAGATGTTCAGGACGAAGTAAAATCACTAAAACAAGTAGTTAATGGTGATATAAAAGTTCTAAAAGATAAAATTAAAGCTTTGGAAGAAGAAAACAAACAGAGAAGATAGACCAAATGCATTAAATTAAAAATAATTTTAAACAAAATTGGGGCTGATTTTCTGTTGAATGTTAAAAGATACATTTACTAATTATTGGAAAATTAATTTCATATGATTTTATGAACGGTTTTATCTGTGTACTGTAAGTAATAATAAAATTATTTTAGCAAAGTAGTTTTTTTGGCGTCTGTCATTAAAAAATACATTATAAGGATTTATTAATATTCGATAAATAAAAATTTTAAGAAAAATTTTGCATTCAAGCCTTTTTTCAAAAATAAGATTATAAAAACATATTAACGATTAATATTTGGTTCGAGCAGTTGAAGATCCTTCTTTGTAGACAATATAAAGTGCATTATAAGAATAATAAAAAATATTTAATAACCTGTGCTACTCTGTTAGCATTCCGAAAAATTCTTCTATAACCACTTTCAGAATAATACATTGTTTGATCCTTAGAAACATGCCCCACACGAGAACATGGTACTATTTCCAAGACACCACCGCACTGCCAGATTCTAAAACTTAATTCTAAATTTTCCATTCCCCAAAAATCCATTCTCTCATCATAAGAACCAATTTCTTTGAAATATTTTTTATCAATTGAAAAAATTCCTCCTATTACTGGTGTCCTTATTGGCACTGTTCTATTACCAAATCTTTTCTGTGGATCAGTTTGGGAAAAATCGTGCCACTTGAATTGTAAATGCCAATCGAAATCTCCATATCTGTCGTTGGAAGATGGCACATATTCAAATGTTTCTTTGGATATAGTATCTATAACTGGTGATGCAACAATTCTTCTATCTTTTTCAAGTCTCGCCAATAAAGGCAATAACCACCCCTCTGTGCATTCACAATGTGAATCTAAAAATGTGATGACTTGACCTGTAACATGTTCAACTGCTAACAAACGGGCTTTTACTAAACCATACCGATTTTCTGTTCGAAGGAGATGAACTCTGACAGGTAGTTTTGCGACATATTCCTCTAAATCTTTACCCAAATACCTGGCATCACTAGCATCATCAACAAGTATTATTTCTCTGAGTAAAGATCTAGGCGATCTATTAATTGTACTCCACACTGTCCTTAGTAAAGTGGACCAAGCTTCGTTATGAAAAACTATCACAACTGATGCAGTAGGAAGAAATTCTGGATATTTTCTTCTTTTGCAGTCCTCTGGTCTCACATCTGGTAATGATCTTTTTATTGAAATGCTATCACTGGCTAATACATTGAAATTGTATATGCTGAATTTTTTAATCATAATGGCGTTATGTTTAAAAGGAATATATACAGGTTCACCCATTTCGCCTGCACCTTTACTTTGAAGTACTAACGAAGCTGGTAACCATCGCTTTAAGATGGTTCTTTTATATTTGTAAATAGAATCATTTTCCTTATCGTTTAGTACTCTCTCTTCTTGTTTTTCTTCTTTTGTTTCATTAAATCTATTACCATAATTATAAGTCTGGCTCTTAAAATATTCTACTTTCTTGCAATCTCCCCAATAACACTTAGTTTTAAAACTGTTCAATAAATTAATCAGAAGCCACAATAAGGATAAAACGATTAAACTTTTGCAGGTTCTTCTTCCTATTCTGGACAACAGCATTTGATTAAATATGCTGTTATTTAAATGAAGCACAAGTAAAAATATTGTATTGGAAGTGTTTAAATGTCGTACGTAACTTCAAAAACCAACATAACCTCAATTATATCTATATACTTTGATTTTCTTTTACTATACGGAGAATGCTCGCAACATACTTTGATTACTATACGAGGTAAGAGAGAGGTCCGACAAGCCCAACATAGGGCGCGGCCATTTTGAACCCTGTGACACAGTTTACAGCTAAAGAATCAGATCGCTCACTCTGCGTCGGCACTTTGGATTTCAATGTTTCAGTTTATACACTGTGCAACTCGGATAATACAATATATGACAACCGCCTATAATAAAACATTAGTCTACTGCGTATCCTGAATTTGTATCCCTGGAGTGGATGTTATTTTGGAACTTTCAACTGGTCCGAGTGAGCTAACTGATTCTTTAGCAATAAACTGTGACTTCAAAAATAATATTCACTGACACTGACAGCAGCAAGCAAAATATCAGGTGCGTTTTAATCATCCGCTTCTGCTTCCGGAATTGTCGGTTTAGTCGTTTTAACCAATGACATATATATGTCATTGGTTTTAACCTGTCAGATTAAAACAAGAAAACTGACACTTCCGAAGCAGAAGCGGATGATTAAAACGCACCTATTAAAAATATTGCGCCAAGATGTAGGCAACACGTAATAAGGGTTCAAAATGGCGGAGTTTTCTCTCCTTTTAAAAGGCACTCAGAAAGCTGCGCAGTGCGTCCATTCTCCGTATAGTAAAAGAAAATCAAAGTATGTGATGCTCACACTGCGCAGCTTTCTGAGTGCCTTTTAAAAGGAGATAGAAAACTCCGTCATTTTGAACCCTTATTACGTGTTGCCTACATCTTGGCGCAATATTTTTAATAGGTGCGTTTTAATCATCCGCTTCTGCTTCGGAATTGTCGGTTTTCTTGTTTTAATCTGACAGGTTAAAACGACTGAACCGACAATTCCGGAAGCAGAAGCGGATGATTAAAACGCACCTGATATTTCAAAGTATGTGATATGAACAGAATAGGACAGGGATTCTTAACTCAACACGTTACGTGTTGAATAAAGAGACATTACATATGAATCGCAATCTGTCGAAAGAAGATAGATGCTTCTCAACACGTGCCGTATTGAAAGATGAGAATCCCACTACAGAACTACAATAACGAAAAAGACTTCACAGAACACTTAGTTTAAGAATGGAATCTCCCATGTTAATAGAGTTTACTTAAGGTCAGTCACTTATGCGCTAGTTCAGCGATGATGTAATTATGGTTCCACTGACAATTAAAGTGAGCGTAGATTTTTTGAGTGCGTTTTGTGCGTTTTGTTCGTTTTGTTTACCTAAATTATATCGTTTTTTTCACTTTTATAAATATATTTCTAAAGTAAGTAGATAGCATGCGTCAAATATACAATCGTTTAGTTACAAATTACATACCTTTAAACTAATTTTATGACCTGTAAACAATATTTAGAAATAAACTAAAAACAGTAAAACGTACATGTCAAATTTATTGATGTTTTTGTTAAAAGTTTGGTTAAAATTAAATGTCAGTGGAACCAAAATGACATCACACTGAACTAGCCACATACTTTGAGTAATCAAAGTATGTGGAACTAGCGCATTGCCGCTCTTATTCTGACATCTGAGCATGCGTAGTGTATTCTAGAACTGACTTTAATAAAAATTGTGCGTGTCCTTAATTGTGGATGTTAGAGACTTTATAGTTTTCGGGTGCGCTCGCCAATATTCGTATCAGTTTGAAGTTTTTTAATATTAAATGTTTAATATCATCGTCATCACCTTCTAAAATGGTAATTTCTAATGCGTCTTCTATATTATGTACTATCCTTGTGGCACACCAATATTGGTATAAACATAGTCGGATTTGTAAGCTTTTATTAACTTTTCATTTATGGAAAGACTAACATACTGTCGACGTTCACTTAAAAAAGATTTTATCCATTGAAGAGACTGATTAATAAATATCACCCTAAAATGCACGACTTATCCTCAGCTAGCGCTAGTATCGCTTTTGCTTCCCCTACCATGACTTCTTACTGAGCAAATAGGAAGCTGTCAAAAATTTCTATGGAAAAAAAATTCCTTCTAGTTAAGAATCGACACCCTGGTGTATAGTCCCTTATGGTTTCACTCGTGTATATGGTTTCATGCGTTAAATAATAAACAGCTATTAAAACTTTTCAACTATGAATTTTAACCTTTCTCAAGTAGTTAATAAATTACATTTTGTATGTAATATAATTAGTCGGTAAAAAGAGAACAATCTGAAAAAATATTGAAATTATGTATTCAAAAAGAAACTTCTAGCATTGGAGTTAAAATAAGATTTATTGAATTGAAAAAACATTTTTATAAAAATTTATTTTCAAACTGTAATAAATCAAAACGACTCTCGCTACAAAAGGCTTATCGCAATAGTAATTTATATGAATTAAAAGTTGGCTTCAACAATTAGAAATAAAAGTATATGAAAACTATCCAAGCAGTTACAATTTAATTGTTGGAAATAGAAACTGGGTCAATGAAATTAAGAGTATTAAGATCACTGAATAATTTTTCATTAATTTTGACAAGATTTTATTAAATTTTAAAGTTGTTTGGTATAGTTTTATTATGTAAAAATAATGCTGGGAACAAAAAATGTGAAATTTTAATAAAGCGAAACTAAAATGTGTAAAAGTATAAATACTTGTTCAACTATGAAGACTAGAGAGATCAACACAAGTCGAGAGTCAAGAGACAAAGATGTGCAACTTGCTAATCCATATGCAAAACTTTAGCTAACACTGAGAATGCTTCGTTAAAGTCGAATTGCATCCAAACTGCTTTATTATTAATCTTAAATAATCCGAAAATTTAAACTGTCACTAAGGAAAACTATACCGATATCGTATGCATTAGCAAGTTGCACATCTTTGCATTAATATGGATATGGTTGGGTGACGTCGAGTGACATTCAGTCTTATTTAATTTCATTATAATGTAAAGTATCTTGTGACAAACTTGCATCATTGAAAAATATAAATTGTTATGAACAGATAACTTGTACATCTGGGCGTTGTTCTCGGGAAACGGTGGAGACTTTGAAAAACGGAAAAAGTGTTTTTTTTAGTAAATTATAACATTAGTTGTGATTCTTAAAATTTTAAATAGTGCGAATATGAGTGCAACTATAATTTTTTATTTAAATGTTTAGCTAATGCACAGATCAACCAGTCTATTTTTTATGGCCATTTGCGCCACTTCTTCTTAAATCTGAACTTTTAGTAACACTTAAGTTACACATTTTAATATCTGGCCACAAGGCAAATTATTTAAGGTGTACCTAAGTAGTAGCAAAACTAAGTTGAAGTACTTTCGGTTTAAGTTATGAACTGTGATTTAATAATAAAATTAGCCTATAGCGAACATGAACAACCATTAATTTCGAACGAACATAAACAATATTACATAGACGGATAGAGGAAGGTAAAATACAAAAAAAAATACTTCCCAGCCACTTTTTCAATTTTCCCTCCCTCTTTATCTACCACTCCAAAATGGTAAGGGATACAACAAAATTACAGCAACAATTTCAAACTGCCCAAATTCTACCTCCTTCTACTCCTCCCCCACCCCAGGGGAGGTCTATATATAGAATCGCTAGACTTAGGATGATGTACTTCGGGTACGATAGATTTGACTTTGGGGAAAAAAATGTAAGCAGGAGGTGAATTCACCCCCTCCCCAAGTATAGATGTAGGATGAAACATATCTTTCATAATTAAAAACATTCTAAGAGTAGAGTACCCCTTTCCTTACCCCTTTTTATACATTTGCTGGGCTATTAATGATTAGTTTTGATATGACGGTGCATGCTTAAATGGACGACACTAGCAACAAATTTTATTTCCTAGCCATAGTATTAGGAGCAAATGGCTTGCGCTACAGTAATTAATATAAATAATAGTGTTTTAAGTAATAAAACGCCCAATAAATACAAATATAAAAAATATTCACGTTAAAATAAAATATTAGAAACAATATTATATTCTAATCATTTATTAAAAGTTGCATTAAAATATTTATTACATACGTTATAAGTGAATCAATTATTAATAAAATTTATAAGTGAAATTATTAGAAAAATTTATAGAAAATGCAGATGTCAGGTGTTTTTTGTTTTTTTTTTTTTTAAAGAAAGAGCTTCCTTGATTTTTTTTTTTTGGAAACACCAAAGGTTTACAGATTTTATTTATTAGTTCACTAATATTATAACAAAGCTTTTTCTCTTTAGAACTTAAATTTTTAACTCTATTTTCATTAATTTATTTCAAAACAGTGTATTTCCTTTTGAAGAGTTGTTCATGTTACTCATCTCATGACTAATAATATTTTTCCTTTTGCAACTAATTTCTTGTTTTTCGTTGTAGATTAGCAAATATGTCTATCCTTTTCTGCTGGGTTTGTGCTTTAGCCAAATTATATTCTAAATTCTGACTCTTGAGTTGAGTATTTAAATTGAATGCACTATTATTCAGTGAAATTTGTATATAATTTATAATTAGCTATTTACGTTTTGAGAGAACCTTACCAAAAATGACTCTAGCAAATCTGTTTTTACTTTCCTATTTGTATACAGAAAATAAAAGTATGAGAATCATGATTTTTTTACGTCGAGTTTTTAACGGCTTTTTACGTTTTGGGGTCCCCTGAATCCGCTTTGACTATTTTCGCGAAGATGTCTCTCTCTGCGTGCGTGCGTGCGTACGTGCTTGCGTGCGTGTAAATTTAAAATTTTGATGAACACTCTGCGGTGAACTGATTAGATTTTTGGCAGATTCGGAACATCTGGGATGGGGGAGGGGAACTTTGTAGGGGGTTGTTTTTATATTTTATGAAATATATTTGTTATTTACATGGAAAAGAAAATTCTTCAAGTACTATTCTCTATAATTTTTGTTCCATACAAAATTTTCCGAAATCGAAAAATTAGACAAAATGTGCAAAATTCTGATTTTTAATAAAATTGTTTAACTAAAAGTTGTTTGCGATATT